TATATAATTATATATTTTTTTAGGTGCTGGACTCATTGGTAAAAAAATTAAAATAGATTATCTTAATAAAATTTTAAATAATTTTAATTTGAAAAAATGGTTAAAATTGTCCAAAATTGTCCCATATACAATACTGGTTCTAGATATTTATATCATACACCATTTAATTAGGCTATCACCTCTTTTATAGTATTCCCTATTGGTATAGTGATACAAAAGTCTAGATCCTTAGAATGGAAATTAAGTATCTCATTTAATTACTGCTACAAAGCAATAACCCAGAACCCGTACTTCTGCTATGTTTCATCATAGACTTCCATATAGGTTGTGTGACTATTACTCACTAGCCAGCTTTATATTCATACTACTAAAGTGCTTGTTTCCATGTTTTTCAAAGTTTTTTTTAACCAGTTTTTTTTGTTTCTTTTATTGTTTTATTTATTTATTCTCTTTAACTAATACTAATTGCTCTTTTTTTCTAGTTGGTTTCTTCACTAATACAGCATTCTTTTTTTTTGCTTTTCAAACATCAGTTACACAGATCAATATCTTTAGATAAGTATAAGCTTTTTGCTTGTTGTACTGGATTTTTTTTTTCTTTAACTAATTTCAGGTGTTTTGTCATTATTTGTTTTGGCCTTGCCAGTTTTCTTAGGTATTTTCTATATAGCTTCATAGTGTCTTGCTACTGATTTTGATGATTTCGGATTTGTTTCAGAGGTGCCTTATCAGTTTTCATAGGTGTTTTCTATATAGCTTCGTAGTGTCTTACTACTGATTTCAACAATTTCAGGTTCGTTTTGGAGATGACTTGTTGGTTTTCTAGGCATTTTCTATATAGCTTCATGGAATCTTGCTACTAATTTTGACGATTTCAGGTTCATTTCGGAGATGCCTTGTTCTAGATTTGTTTCAAGTACTTTTCAGAGTAAATTTTGCTTCAGGTATGTTTTATAAGTGTTTTGTCATAGATTTTACTTCGGGTGTTCTACAAGTTTTCTTGGGGTTTCTGTGCGACTTCATAGTTGATTCAGAAGTCTTGTTGCTTCTTGTTGTAGATTTTGTTTCGGGTGCCCTGTTAGCTTTCTTGGGCATTTTCTGTGTGACTTTTGTGGTTGCCTCAGGTATCTTGTTGTCAATTTCGACATTGCTTTTGGTGCGTTTCGGGGTGTCTTGTGAATTTTGTATTGGGTGCTCTTAGTCTGGTATAATAGATTAGCCAGGATCAGGTTTTTAAGAAAAAAAGAACTGAACAGACTAATTATTAAAGAAGGTTTATTATTTTAAATATTCTCTCTGCTTTTACTACTAATACTATCGATGACTAAATAATTTATGCACTTAATTTCTTGTATTATTCTTATGACTTGGTGACTTCATAATTCATGTGTTGGCGAAATTCTAAGATCACAATATCGAATTACGGTTTGAATTACGGGCTTCGGATGAGGCTTGGTTCTTGATGTCTTTGCTTAATGCGACGATTCTTATCGCTAATGCTAAGGATAGGGTAAGGTTAGAAAAAGGCTATTAAAGGGATTCGAGTTAGAGTTAAGTGGGATTAGTGTAAGAGGTTAAAGTAGCGCGGATTAGCTAAAGAGTTAGAGTAGTATTATCAGCAAAAATATATATGCATAAACTTTCGTAAGTTTTTATGGTGCATAAGAAAATCGTAAACTTACGTAAAATTTAGCATAAAACTACGTAAATCTTACGGTGCGTAAGAAAATCGTAAATTTAGGTAAAAATTTTACGTTGGTTTACATAAATCTTACGCACCGTAAAAACTTACGAAAAGTTACGGAAGTATATAAAAAT